CGGGTGGCCAGCCATTGTATGCATCGCAAGCAACGAATAAATCCGCTGACCGAGGCACGAGATCTGAAAGGCAAACAGACAGTTAAGTCGAATGAACGCCCCATCACAGAGGTTTGGCAGCGCGGCATTCCCAAGCCTCTCATACAGCTTAGCAAACATAGCAGCGGCCACGTCTGCCATATCCACTGTCGTCTGTTCAAGGGTGGCCACACAAGCGTCCGCTCCGCTGCGGCTGTATCATCCGTCGGTTGGAGTTTGTCGTGTTGGCACAGTGGGAACCTTTGTAAGGTCCCAAGAGTCAGCCCTTCTCTACTTCTTGCATGGTCTTTCTCCAGAGTTCCACATTTGTTGCGTGAACGCCGGAAGAGCCAAGCGAAGTCTGCAGCGCCTCATAGGCACGGGTCGCAGCGTCGCACACATCGTCCGGATGAAGCGAGGCTGGTGACACTTTGACCGAAGCATATTCGACACAGGTGAAGGTCAAACGAGGTCGAAGCCCCGCCTTACGTCACTTGCAAGATTCATGTCGTCATAACCTTCCGCCGCGATGATCTCGTCCAGCAGTTGGCGGCGCTTGCTCTGCAGCACCGCACACATGTGCGGATCTTCAACTTCCCAAGACTTGTCTGGCGACAGAACGGCTTGCGCAGCACGCGCCGTCCACTTGTCCAGCCACTGCTTACGCTTCTGTATGACGGCATGCGGCGGCGCTTCCTCGCTCTGAAAACAAGCTGCAGGCTCTGACTCTGGCCCCAAAATAGCTTGCGGCAAAGTCCGTCCGGAACCAGGCAACGGGAAGCCCAAACTCAAGAGGAGGTCATCGTCCTTCTTCTTCAAGAACGAAAGGTTCTTCGGGTTGAAACCAATCACCACCATCCTAGACCCAAGCTACGGTAAGGTGCAGTGGAGGCCGTGAGGTCAAGCTGTGCCGGCCCCTCGGAGACATGTAGCACACGCCCTCGAACACGCCCGTGCGGCGTCACACGTGACTGGCCACCCTCTTCATCTTGCACCCATGTGCCCCCCCCTTTCTCAAGGAAGTTAGGGGGGCCACATAGTTCAGTGTTCCCACCATGTTGTTGCTGTCCTTGTGCAGAGGAGTGGCTACGTTGGAGTAGATGGCAATCGATGCGAAACTGGCACAAGGGAAGCATACCTCAAGTACCTCACTGCTGCAGAAACAATGCAAGGGAATGCCCTAGTGTTCCGACTCAAGCCACACAGCTTATTCTGGGAGCAAGCACCTGCCGTCCAAACCTCCTCACGTGCATCGGCAACACCCTTCGCAGGGGTCTCTGCTGGCAGCGTCTGGAAGTGAACACTTTTCTCACCTATGAGC